TTCCTTAACAGCAACCATGACTCATCCAACCCCATGTCGATGCTGAACGTTGAGTTGACGTGCTTAATCTGGCCAAACAGGTCTTTGTCATTCAAGACCGCTTTGATCGCATCTTGCCTTGGGTTGTGCAGAAACATGGTGTTGTCCATGAACTGCACCCCAGCTTCTCTGCACGCATCGATCATCATCTTAGCTTCAGTTGCGGTGGCTATCGGCTTCTCCACCAACAGATGCTTCTTGGCAGCTGCTGCTTTAACAGCAAGCTCCGCTCTCAAGGCTGTCGGAACAGGAATATAGACTGCCTGGATGCTCGTGTCGGCCAGCAGCTCTTCATAGCTGTCGTAAGACTTGGCACCAGGACAATTTGCTGCGATGAAATCAGCCGCCTTTCCTGCCGTTCTGGAGGCCACACCAGTAATCACTGCGTTCTCGACGCGGCTGACAGACGCACAAAACTTCTCTGCAATGCCAGCGCAACCCAGAATTCCCCAGTGAACTGCCATTCGCAGTCCCAGGAAGGCGGCGGTCTACACTCAATCTACGCTCAAGCTGTTCAGCTGCAAAAAATCGCAGAAATACCAGCAAGTCAGTGAGAGTACATCCTCATAGCTTCAAGACTCCAACCACTCCACCCCAGGTTTAAATATACACACCCTCCTCCTCCTCCTGCTGCTGCTGCTGCTGCTCCGCCTCCTGTTGCTCCTAGTAACCTGATACTTATACTGCTATAATTGGTACTCATCCGCATTCACGTCCTGCCTGGGCCATGGATCCTGTCGCTGCTGCGAAACCACTTCCTGTCAAGAACTTCCGGGTTGCTGTTGAGGAATCTAAATTCAAGTTGCCATCCTCTGGGTATATGGTTAATGATAAGGTTTCCATACTATGGTAACATAGCAACCCAGACTAGCTAGGTACTGCACATTACGCAACACTCCCGTTCATACCATGAAGTGCTACCTGCTCAGAACTTGGGATTCTTTTGCCAAACTGCGTGAATAAAGGCTGCCGTTCGCTTGCAAGGGTTGCTGAGCTTCGGCCACCGAGAGGGGTCGTAATTCTGAGGACGCTCACGCACCAGCGCGCCAACCCGCCCAAAACACCGACAAGGCCGTCGATTCAATTCTAGGGATGCTCCACGCGCCAGAGCTTCGGCCCACCAACACCGAGGGGGTCGTCGATTCCGAGAAGAATTTGAAGGACGCTCCTCGCGCCAGCGACCCAACACGCCGGGATCGTGAAACATTCGACACGTGCGCGCACGCGCGTGCGCGACCCGACACGCCGCGCGCGCCCGCGTCACTTGCGCGCAACATTCCAAGGACGCTTCACCCGCCAACGACCCACGCGGGCAGCACCCAGAGGCTCGTCGATTCCGCACAGAATCTAGATGCGCCAGCGATCAGACACGCATGGACAACCAAGAGGGTCGTCCATTCCGCACAAAATTCGGAGGACCCTTCACGCGCCAGCGCGGCTTTTGCTTTGTGTGGCAGCTCCTGCCGGCCGGCCGTGCTTTAAGACATCTTAAGTTTAGTAATTATAGTTTAGTAAGAGACAGGCCCGATGCCTCACGACGACCGCTCAGGAGACGAGACCACTGCATTATCCATGCATCCCAGACTTCACGACCTTCTTATACAGAGACCTCACAACAACCTTCCATCAGACCATTATCACGCCGTCCTATCATCCGATACCTCGCGACAACCTTCCATCAGAGCATCACAACGTCCATCCATCACAACAATCACGCCATCCTATGCGAAGGGCACCTGCACTGAAAAACCTTCGCAACGCTTTGGGGAAAAACACGCTGCTAACATTAGAGGTTCCCACTGTGGTATACTATATTAAGTTAGGAATACTTCATAAGGGGGTGGGGGATTCTCATTAGGGGGAGGCTTAAGAACTGAATCAGGCCTGCACTCGGCGCAGCATTGGCTCCTAAGCCAGAGTAGTGCGACCAATCGGAATGAACCTTGCGAACCACTTTCAAATAGGAGATGTATAGCAATATCTAGGACATGGGGTTTGGGGTTCAGGGTGCGGGGTTTCTCAAAAAAGGGTAAGCTTCGGAATGCTAGTGCCGCTAACACATCACTGTGATTCCTCCACGCGCCTGCTCGAAGTCGCTTATGCCTTGCGTCTCGCTGCTGACATCCATGAACAGCACAGATGCTTGCATCCATGCATGCTGCATTGTGGCACATCTACATCTCCGTCTCAAGAAAGTTACCTCTGGTTAGCAAGGAATGAAGGAATGGATCCTTATAGCTATCCCTATATCATCCCAAGAATGCAATAAAGCCTAAACCCTAAACCCCAATGGTATCCATTTCCTTTTCCTTCGTTCCCTGCTAACCAAAGGTGAGGCAAGCACAATGAGTCTGAGGGGCCAGGTGCCTGATCTTTTGTGGCAGCCTGCAAGGAACCTCCGCGAATTGGATTTAGGGTTTAGGGTTTGAGGTTTAGAGGGCACAGATGTCAAGGGTTCCAAAGTTGCACCCCCAAGCTTCATACCCCTAAAAGGTTCCCTCTATACAGCCCACATATAACCCTTCTGTGAAGCAATGTAGTCCCCTAGGTTCATCAAAAGGACAGGAGTACAACCTTAGGTGCACAACCCTGAAAACCCTAAACCCTAAACCCAACCCTGAAACTCTCCTTTTTCTTTTCCATTTGATTCTCCATTATTAACCCTTAAACCTAATTTGAACCTTAAATGAAATGCGTATCAACCCATAGATGGCAACTAAGCTTATAAACCCTAAACCCTTAACCTGAGCCTACTTGCAAGCTAAGCGGTCTGAGCCTGTACAGACAGAGAGAGAGAGAGAGAGAGAGAGAGAGAGAAGGGTCTAGGGCCTAGGATAGGTGGGCACTTTAAAGGCGGAAACAGGGGGCATATATGTGTATGTATAAATATATATGTGTGTATGGATGTATGCATGTACGTATGTATATGAAATCCATAAGGATATGACGGTTAAGGGTTCAGGATATACAGGGATTGCATGGAAGTTTTTTAGAGTTTAGGGATAATACCCTCATGACGCAGAATCAAAGAAAAATCGATGAAACAGCCGCCTTACGTATGAAAGAAACCCATCCTAAACCGCAAACCCTAAACCCCTAAACCCTAAACCCCTAAACCCTAAATCCCAAACCCCAGCACAAGGTTGGCGGCCTTTGGAAGATGTCTTGCCCTTGCCATCCTTGCCGCCTCGGTTTAGGGTTTAGGGTTTAAGGTTTAGGATTAGAAGCCCCCACCCTGCAACACTGGTATAACCGGAATACAAGAGGACCTTAATATGGTCCGTACTATCCCGTCGCCACTATTACAGGGTGGGGGGGGGGTCCACCTAAAGTATAATGCTTACAATAGAAGGACCCCTAAACCCTAGACCTACTATTGACAAGAGTCGGTCCAGGGTTTAGGGTTTAGACTGTGGGTTTAATACGCATAGTGGCAATAATGCTTACAATAATAGGTTCAGGGCTTAGACTCTGTGCTTACTATACAAATATATATATATATACATATATAGTAGTTCCAAGATTAGTGCTATAGCAGTAGTAACGCTACTATGAAAACAACAGTAACATGTATCACGTCAAACTATGGACTTGTCGGGGGACATCTGGCACCGAGAACCCTGAGCTCCTGACCTTTGGCATCACCTTTGTCACCGTCACCCTTGCCTTCAGGGACAGACTGATTAGTTCTAATATCAGTAGTAGTAGTAGTAGTAGTAGTAGTAGTAATAACAATAATAGCAATATTAATAATAGTTGTACTGAGTAATAGAAATAATAATACTGTTAGCAATGGTTGTCTGAGCCGCACATGCTTGCGACCTGCGCACATCTTCCTGTCTCTCACTGCAAGAACAAAAGTAATTGTCCCATAACTCCCCCAGGTACCACGTGCTAAGATGATAAGGCTAATGTAGCAGCTTCAACAATGTATCACTGTCTTGAGGTACCCTGTACCAGTATTACGGAAAGAATCCAGGTGTGATTGAGCCGCTTCGGCCCCCATGCTCGAATGCAATTGTAACCACCAGACATAGTAGCAATTCTGTTGCGGCCTCTAGAAATTCCTAATTACACTCAAATTTCCCATTATGTGGGGACCCCGAAGGGACCCCCAACAGGGTACCCCTCATTTTCGGACACCCTTATCGTAGGTGGGGGCCTAAGCCAAGGTGTCATCTAGGCTCCCGTATTGTCCAAAAGCGGCTCGCTCGCCTTTTGACCGGTCTTTGCCCCACCTGAGTAACGTTGTTGTCTGGCGGTGGAACCAAGGTATAGGGTTTAGAGTTAGTTTGTCTTTAATTTTCTTCTCGCCTCAGCTCCAGAAATGTCTTATAACAGAGCCTACAGTTGGGGCACACCACCAAATATACACATCAAAAGAGGCAGAAATGAAAACCTGCTTTGAGAAAACCCTCAGCAATCTGTACAAACTACCCTTCATGTAGATATTCAGGGTTTAGGGTTTAGTGGTGGTTGAACCTAGTAAGATCATACTCTGCAAATTAAACAACAGCAATATTCACAAAAAGAGTGTATAATCTTACTCCACTGGGTACCATGGTATCACCAAATAAAAAGACTATTCACCGGAGCACACAGCAGGGCTCTGCGCAACGGCTTAGATGGGCATGTGCCACATTACTTGAAGCCTGAGGAGACATCCTTACTGGTTCTTAGCAGGGAATAAGGAGAGATGTTGTATAAGGATTCGCATAGTCGGGCTTGACATTCTTATAAACTACTTTCTAATCCCCTGAGGCTTCCCGCATACTGCACCAGAGAAGATGTATGTCCGCACAAGCAGCTCACAGTGTTACCAAATACCCAGAACTTCGGACAGTGAAACTGTCTCTAAACCCTTCCTTGCACACCTTACCCTAAACCCTTACAGAGAAGCCCAGCGAGCCCATTACACTCAGCTTAGAGGCTCTCCCTTGCCGGAACCTTTGGCATCCTTGCCTTTGCCACCACCGAATCCTGCAAGCGCAGGCTAAGGGTGTAGGGTCTAAGATATAGGGGTCCGTGTTTAAAAGATAAGGCCATCAGCCCCCTAAACTAGCCTATATCAAAAGTTATCTTGGTTACAAATCGATCTGGGACTACCACCAACTGACCATGGACCTCTACTTATGCTTCACAATAATGAAAGCGGGCCTTGGGTCAGAAAGCTGCAGCTACACAAGCGAACTACTTGAAGGTTCAGAGGGACTTCAAGCAACTACCTGTAACTGGCCTTGTATCATAACCTTACTTCTAATACTTCTAATTGGGGGTAACCCATAGCGTTATGCGCCCAGGTATAAATAGTCATGAAGTCCCATGAGCCTTTTAGTACACATAAGCCCTAAACCCTAAACCCTTAAAGATCCACCTCTTACTTGGAGGCTCAGGAGGACTTAGTAAGTAGGCTAATGATTTGGAATAACTAGGGTTACTATATAGGCTATAGGGGTTATTAACC